TTTATGAGCTGATTCCCTGATTCTAGAAGCAAAATGTTTAAATGTGACTACGTTTATGCCAATAAAATCCTGAATAAATGAAGACTTTCTTTACTTTACTTGTGTATTAGACTTCAAAATACCAGACCACAAGGGGTAAGAATATATAATATAAGGGGTTGACAGAGTAGGAAATAATAACTAAACAAGCTCTGCGACACAAAACTATGTTTATTTTTTACTGTTTCTTTCTCTGTTCAAGGGAAACAAAAGTACCTTAAACAGCGTTTTTTTCGTCATTGTTTAATCCATTCACCGACAATCAGCCTATAGTTTGTGGAGTCATTCTTTCCATAATCCCTGAGTGGCTTGCATTCATCCAAACCCATAATTAAGGGCAATAATTGGCTCTACATCTGAATAAGAGCACATTCTACTTTGTGGCCGTTTTATGGTGGTCGTTGTCGGCGCTGGCAGTGAGTTATACTATCATCATCGACACGGCTGGGAATTGTTCAATAAAAGCAGCAAGGTGTAAAGGCCAAAGACTGCATGTGCCGCTTCTGCCGTGATAGGTCATGTGTAAAAGGTCAGCACATTATTTCATCGACATCAGCCTTACCTTGATCTGACCCTGAAAGGAGGGGTTAACAGCTGAGAATTAGTTAAATGTTGTCTGGATGACTCAATTTAGTTGCTTTTGAGAAGGAAAAGAAAAGAGAAGAATAGACACACAAAGGGTTTTACAAATGCTTAATAGCATTAGCAAAAGAAAAACAACATCTTTCTTTGGTAGTCATGTAATGGAGGCTACATATTTACAGTTTTGCTGTTTTGCCGTTTTAAAAGAAAATATAAGAATTTACATTAGCAGTATATTACTATCTGTGGAATTGTCTAAACAAAATGGCAAAGGATAGAATAAATAAGAGGGATAAACGAAGTAAGTCACCGGATGTGGATATGTTGTATATCTTTAGGATTCATTTCTGTTGGAATGTTCACTCTATTAAAAGTAAGCTGTCATTTTTGTCACAGTTTTTTGGGGGGAAAAAATGTAAAACTTCTAATAATAGACAGTGAGCAGCGGATTTCACATGACAATATTCACAACTCTGATTAATTTTTATGAAAGACTTTGATTATTTTGATCGGTGGACCTTTATGGACTAAACAAATATAAATAATGGAGGAATGGACACAGACAGTACAGCTTTTATGATCACTTCAGAGTTTTTTTTCCATCTCTCTTGTTTACCATGCCAATAAATCTAAAGGAGTTATACTTCGGTGTTTCCGTAAAATAAACTGAACGATTAAATTGTAGAGAAAAAACGATGTGCAACTGAGGTATATAAGTTTAACATTTATATTTGTGTAGGTGATCTAAACATCTTAAAACTTGTTCAAGCGGACGACCCGGTGGGTTTTTAAGAGGTTTTATACATCGAAAATACATCTCTCTATAAAATCACCGACCAGGCCCTCTATTGGAGACCCCTGTGTTTATTTGTCAAAACCTGTAGCCACACAAGGCCTTTAAAGGAGACCCTATTTGGGACCCTGCTTTTATTTGAAGTTTTAGGGTAGTAAGAAAATGTCTTGTCAAAGGCAAAATTAAGGACATATGTGCATATAAAACTAAAATCTGGCCCTAAATCATATGTCAAATCTCATTCAGCTAGAAGCTAAAGATCTTCAGTTGCACAGTTGAGAGCTACTGTTCTTCCTCTGGCCATTGAGGCTGGTCGATTCAAAAACATTCACACGACTGTGTGAGCTGTGTGATCCGGGTGGAAAGTGAGTCCAAATTTCTTTTGTACTGTACAAACTGTAATGATTTAAGAAAGTTAATGTTCCCTGAAATAGCTCAACAAAAGCCTGAAATATTCTGGTGTACGGATGAGCAAAAATTGGCACGGCTGTTTAATTGCGTTTAAGTTTGTTAACTTTGTCTCAAAGGCCTGAAAAAGAAGGCAAGATTGATTATTTAATCAGTGTTTATTCAGATTTTTCTAGTGGCACATAGTAAAGGTTTTTGACAGTGATTTATGAATTTTGTTGTAATGAAAATTGGACCGTGAAATATGCTTTAATTATTTTTTTTTTCTTCTTCTATCCTACTTTTGGACTTTCTTTGCTGTTTGGAAATGTATACGCAGCACTCTTGTCCTGGCTTGTATGAATTTATGTTGTCTTGTAGGCCCATGCAGGCTGGGCATGACAATAATCATCTTTGGCTCAGTGTAAAGCATAAGACAACAGAGTTTTGTATTGTTTTACCAACTCACACAATTAACATAAACTTAAACACTAACTTAAACTTTCACTTGCTGCAGCTTGTTAAGACATTTCCTTTTGTAAGTTATAATTAAAATTGTGGCTCATGTGATAGTGATCAAATTGCTATTTTCTTATATAAAAACGAGTAATTGTTCAGCCATTCTACACTCTTCTTAATAATAATCATAATCACAGAGATACTCATCATGATATTTAGAAATTGATTATTTACATTTACATTTTGAGGGGGTTTACTATTGTGGCCGACTGGGCAGTAGGCCTGCCTCTGGAATAGAAATATAATACTTAAGCAGCAGGACTGGCGTTAAAACACCAGTACTGTATCAGTAAACATCTGCCTGTCTCAAGTGTCCTTGAGCAAGAAACTGAATCCCTGTCAACTCCACGAGTGTTGTTCTGCAGCTGACCCTGACCTCCCTGTGGAAGGAGTGGTGGGTGGTGTTTCCCTGCAGGGATCAATACAGAATCAAGTATTACAACTATTACATTTCAGATGTGCTGCGTATTGCATGTTCACAAGCTTATCATAACCGGGAGGATATGCCTGTAAAAGCTTTAAACTATCACTCTTTGTCCATCTGTTTACACAGAATGCACAGTGAAGGAAACATAGAGCCACCCTCCCCACACCCAACAGCATTATGCTGAGGAGGTGAGGAGCAAAGCACAGAAATGTCAATGTGCAGCAAATCAATAAGCTCTCACTGAA